AAAAAATGTATGTATATATATATATATAATATATGATGAGAATGTGATATGAGAAAGTGCGTTGTACTTGAGAGATGTGCGATAAACTGACAAACTTCGTACAGGAAGTATACTTTTATTTCTATCCATTATTTATTTATATGTGGATATTAAAAAATGCATCATTATTTAATGATTTTACTCGGGCAATGTACTCATAATTATTCCTCTACTTTTATTTTTAGGCGACAAGAACCGTAAGGAACCACCACAATGATCCTTCGATTCATGATGAAGGGGTATAGGGCCAATCCGGCCTCAGGCACCCGGACCAACCGACAGGACTAGGACTAGAACTTGATATTATCTGGAGGCACTTTTTGATAGATGACTGTTAACACTGTTGGTAGCCTAGCCCTCCAATAGGCTTCCGAAATATTACGAAACGCTATATAGAAAAAGCTTCAAAATATTAAAAAAAATCCGAAACTGCAAGAGATGATTCAAAATTTTCCTGAAGTGCACCGAAATGTTTCTGAATACTACTGTAAAATGTTTACGAAATAATCACAAATGTTTTTAAAAACTACCCAGGTAGCAGAGAACCATACATTTTACGTCAAAAATACGTATATTTTACCTTTTATTTTTACTAAGCAATCTCAAAATTTACGTTAGCCTAAAGCGTCAAATTACAGCAAAAAATAGTTATCCAAAATACGTAAAATTTAAGTAGCATTTTATGTAAACAATTCGGTTCTTTCACGAATATTTTACAAACCGCATTTTACTAGGTAAGAATGAGTACTTTATTTTTACATAATATTTACGTCAACAATACTTGAAAATTTACGTAAGTTGAAACGTCAAATTATAGCAAAAAATAATTATCCAAGAAACGGAAAACTTATGTAAAAGTTTACGTAAACAAATTAGTTTATTTTAGGAATATTTTACCAACCACTTTTTACTAGGTAAGAATTGTTATTTGTAAGAACTGTGTATGTTATTTATACATATTATTTACGTCAAATATACTTCAAATTATACTCATTCAATTATACTATTAGTTAAAACGTCAAATATAAAAAATGGAATATTAAAAAAAAGTGGTTATCAAAAAAAAAGAAAAAAAAAATCCGTAAATGATTTTGAACCAGAATTTAAATTGCGAATTTTTTTTTGTCAATAATACATAAAATACACAGAATCCTTCTTACTAAATCTAAACACTAAATATTCTTTCATTTATCTTTTGTAAAATATACGAAAGCATTCGTATAGCATAGTTGGTGAAATCCATTCCATTAATATTACGTAAAATATACGAAGCTTTCTTTACCAAATATCTTAATGGTAATATCATTTCGCCAATATTACATAAAATTTAAGCATAAATCGTATTGAATTTTCCTATATCCTAAAAATTTACTTTTAATTTAAAGATCTTGCTACATAGGTAGATGCACCGTAACTGTCACATGTACCCAGAAACATTTTTAGATTTTCCTTTACAGTGCACAAAGCATAAATAGTGAAGGGTGACATTATTGGTAAAAAAAAACTTACTAATACAGGTACAGAGTATTACATTGATATATTTGTTAATTATTACAACTACACCAATGCTTTTAATTCCGATACTGTTGCAATTAAGTGTTTTGCGACCCCTCGAAAGGGATATGTACCGGAGAAAATTACTTGATAGTGGCAAATTTCGACTATGAGTTGGCCACGAGCATAATGCCGGGTGGTGCTGAATGCAGTTAATCTCTGTTCTGATAAAATGGACTATAAAAACATGTTTTGCTTAATTAAGTAACGAAAAGTCACCAGGAAAGGCAACAAATTATAATAAATGAGGAAATAATTAAAATTATTTTTATTATCTGTGTCGATAAAATCCATTTAATTTTGCGCATGATTTTGTTGAGTTATTGATTATTTTCTTTTTTTTCCCACTCCTTACGAAAAAGAATTAGATAGTAAGTTATATTGTACGTTAATATAATTAACAATTTTACGATAATAATTGTTTGTTCATTCAATTCTACTATAATATAAGTAGCATTCCAAAGTACGAAATAGTAAGTGTCCTCATTCTTTCACTAATTGATGACTTGAGATTATTGATGACTTTTTCCCAAATTATTATGAGTAATTATTATGAGTAATTATCTTCCATAAAATGACACTATTTTTATCGCTAAATATTTCATTCGAGCAAATACACTTCTTTATTTTAAGTATTTGTATCTGCATTTTATTTAACTCTAACTAAAAAAACTGAAGAAAAGGATTAATTTTCAAAACTAAATAAAGAAACAAGTAAAAAATAATCACCGTCTTTAACATTTTGTTGACTTTCTTTAAATAATATGGTATGCTAATTTCCAATGGAAGCAATAATCAATTTTTGTAATTAAAAAAAAAAGAAACTCGGTAAAAGGAATTGAAAAAGTGTTGCTTTAAAAATTTGAGTAAACACTACATTTAAAACCTAATAGTGAAGCACTTAAACGAATGTATTATACTAGTTTAGTTTTTTTTTATAAGAAACAGGACAAAAAAAAAGTTTAACAAAAAAAGCTTCCTCGTAATTAATGCCGTCTTCCTTAAAGATTAGATTTTCTTGATATTTAGGCTTTGCATCATTAGATACAAATGAAACTGAGTTAAAAAAATTTTAACTCTTAAAGTTATCGCCGAAGGAAATTTTCTTTCTTTAATGCAGCCAAGTTTTTTTTTATTCCGTTCTAAAAGTAATGTATTTTTTTCTTGGTCTCAAGTTTCGAGCAAAAAAATGCTAATTGCCTTCCTTAATGGTACAGAATAATTCTCCATTACAATACATTTGTTTTCTTTCTAAAAATTGTCAAAATATTCTCATGTTTTTCAAAGAAGCAAAATTAGTTTCATTAGCATTTTGGAGCTAGACTTTACATCTGAACAAACGTTATTACAAAAGGAAAAAAATATACTAAAGTTTAATAGATGAATATAAAAGATATATCGTGTTCAGGTTAAATTTGCAAATATGATGACGCTGCTTTATTGTAATCTGTATAATGATTGTTTAATTTGAACAGAAAAGCATATTTTGAATCACAATGCGTTCCTTTATGCATGACAAAATTTATATTTTTATTTTTTATTTAAGAAAAATCTGATTATGCATGATTATTAAAGAAAAAATTTACGCATGAAAAAGAATTTATTAGAAAAAATATTCTATTTTTTTATGAACTATATGAAAAACGAAATTAGATTTCAACCTGAAGTGAATTAAATTTATTTAAATTTAGAGAAGCAATCATCGCAATCCTGGTGATAAAAAGGTTTAATTTTTGTTTGATACTAAATATATAACTGCATGAATGCTTGTGGTATATGAATAAAATTAAACAACCAGTCAAACAATGCAAACAATAACGCATAAATGAACCTACTAATATTTCGGTTTTATATTGAAGAACCGTTATCAATGTCTAATCACAAAAGTAAAGAGGGAAATCACAGAGCAGAGAAAATCACAAAAAAAGAGAAGGGTTAGGAATTAACCAATCGGGAAAAAGAAACTACCTTGAACACGATGTTTAATATTTTTTAAGAATTAATCATCTTGTTCCCTCTTCTGATTGATCAATAAACTATTTTTTTAATTTCAACTTCTTTATAAACTTTTTCTGCCGCTCTGTAATTCCTTTTTTTAAAATCTATTTTTGGACACTGGTGAAGGCTTTTCATTATAGAACAGATACTACAATATGTTTATTTATATGCTGTTTTTTTTGTAAGTATATTTGTCGTTTTTTTTTTCATTTTATTATCGCTATCTTAAAATTCACATAGCTTATGGTTACTCATTTAATTTATTTAACTGTCTGTTAATTAAATTTCAACTACGCTGAGGATTAACGATTTTTCTGAATATTCCTGTAGTTCTGAATTCAATTCAAAACGGAATAAAACTTATTTGTCAAGAAAATTGTGAAAAATATCACCTTTCGGCAAATAAAAAAAACTGCCAAAATTGTTGCCAATTAATGCTATTAAAAATGAGCGCTAAATTAAATAACAATCTTTCTTTTGAAATTGTTTTAGTTTACGTTACCATGGAACTGCAAGGTTTTAGAAAGGTAGATTTTATGATATTTTAAGATAAAAACAATCATAATTCATGTTTTAAATGCTTGTAAGTATGCGCTGAAAGTCTTTTGATGTCATACCTCTAAAATTGTGCGAACG